CTTAATTGTTTTTGCCATTGCCAACATTAGTCTTACTAGGGTCTATTCTAAATATTTTAGGCCCGTTTTATTAGGGAAGACTATTTAAATTTAGTCATGCCTAACCATGGACCTATGGCTAGTCCATGGACCTATGACTAGTCGACGCGAGTGACTCAGTTTCGTGGCTCCAAAAATATGAACATTTGATTGGTTGAAATTGTTTATTTCGGTCCGCCCATTTATCCAAATACGGAATATAAGATTACGTCATTCTTTTGGCATCCTGGTGCCTGATTTCAGTGTTTTACAAGTCGCTTATTCCGTCTATAAATTAACTTTTTCGTTGGTGGCGCTGTCCAGAATGAGAAAAATAATAAAAAATAAGAGACTTGTGGCAAGTCTAAGGAGTTTCTATACTGGGTGAATCGAATTGACTGGCCAAGCGCTTAGGGTATGAACGCCGTAAACTGCATTCATAATATAAGCGCTGGCTCGAGCGGCACGCTCGCCTGTTCTGCTAGTTGTGGACAGACGATAGTAACGGGAACCGGTTTTCAGATAGCTTAGACACCCTTCTCGGGGTGTAGACAGGTTTGAACGTGATGTGTCCATGAATTAGGTGTCATTACCGTCAGGTCTGGCGAACAACAGCGCTATACAAATTGTATGAGTAAATTAGAACAATTTAGGACTAACAGTGTACATGTTGATTCAGTGATGGCGCCAGGACCTGCCCGACCGGGGGTGGGGGGCTAGTGAAGCGAATCGAGTCTCACTTGGCTGGGGGCCGGGGGCCGCCTAGGTATTTGATGAGTTATGGCGAATTTTTCCTGGAAGCCACGGGTATTTGATGAATTATGGGGAATTTTTATTACTTATTTGATAGGCATCGAGTTACTAAAATATGACTTCATGTAGGCTATGCTTTCTAAAGTCAGCTTCCAAAATCAAAACATTTTGAATAAAACGAGAAAAAAAGAGTATGCAATGTAACCATCTAATTTATTTTCAAACCCTCATTCTTGAAAACGAAGTTCTATATTTTGGAAATTTTGCTGTCATGGTCGAGGTTGCTTCCCCTATCACGATGTATTCCAACCATCATGAGGCTATCTAAGTGAGCATTTGTCGTAACAGAACGCAAATTATTTTTAATTAGGCTCATTGAATTATTATTATTATTATTATTATTGTTATTGTTGTTGTTGTTGCTGTTGTGTGATGAAAAGTTAACACAAACAATATGGTGGCTAAATGAATTTTTCATGTAATTTTTTTTTTATTTGTCTGTTCCCCGACAAAATTTATCGTCTTCCCCAAGGAGGGGGTTGCTTATGCTTCCACGACGGGGAGGGGGATATAGTCCCCTACCCCTCCCCTCTCTGGCGCTACCACTGTGTTGATTGTTTACTTATGACACACTACTGTATTTTTCTTTATTTTGCCTTAAATGAATTTAATTATTAAAAATTAATTTGAAATGTTGGATTTCATAGATACTTCAAACAACGAGTTGCCTGTTTATAGCCCACCGGGAATGTTCACACGCACAGCCTCTGGAGGTGCCATTGAGGTGTCTGGTTACAGCTACCAAGCAAACGATGTTGTAGCGCCCTCTCGTATCTCCGATCTCAGCGTATTGGAAACTTCGTATTCTGAAGAAAAAGTCGTCCTTCAGTGGACCGCAGTTGGAGATGATCTTGATAGAGGAAATGGTACTGTCTCTTATACACATCTAGATGTGTATAAGAGACAGTTTGGTATTAAAATAATAATAATAATAATTAGTTTGTTGACAAAAAGTATATATTTTGTTGCAGCATCAAGATATGAACTTAAAATTGCAAAGAGCTTCTCCGAACTTCAGAGAAATTTCTCAAGTGCAAGTGAAATTCAAAACGATGACATCATTATAGGAAACATAACGATTGCAAGTCCACCCGGTGTTGTTGAAAGGATAACATTGAAAGTGTCAGCAGGCGGACAAAATGCAACATATTTCTTCGCCATTCGCGCCTATGACGAATCCGGAAATGCTGGGGCTGTTTCCAACATTGTATCCGCTAATATGCAATATATACCACCAATTCCTGCTTCTGTTAATTCCACAGATCTTATAAATGCTACGAGCATTTTTGATACAACATATTATGTTACTATTACTGACGCGACCAGTTTAGCAAATCCAACTAATTATACGGATCGCACTACTTATTCTACAAAATCCACTAATTCCACAGGTTCAACTAATCTCACACATTCTACTAATTCCACGGAACCTGCTCATAATTCCACAAATACCGAAAATCCTCTTATTACCACGGATGTTGCTAACCCTACGGATCCTGCTAATTCCCCGGAATCTACGTATTTTACAAAATCCACTAATCCCACAGGTTCAACTAATGTCATATATTCTACTAAGCCCACTGAACCTGCTCATCATTCCACAAATATCAAAAATCCTGTTATCACCACGAATTTGGCTAGTCCCGCGGCTAATTCCCCAGAATCTACTCATCCCACGGAACCTGCTCACCATTCCACAAATTCAGCAGCTAATCCCACTTATCTTACTAATACAATTATAGATCACACTAATTTTAAGTTTTCCGTTACTCCAACGAAATATCTTAACAGCAAGAAACCCGTTATTACAACGAAATTTCCTAAGCCCACGGATCCTGCTAATTCACCGGAATCTACTCATCTCACTGAATATATTACTCCAGCAACTTTAACTAGTCCAAATAGTAAGACTGATCCAACTAATCTCGCCTATACAACAGTTTCCTATAATCCTACCAAAGTTGTTCGACCAACTGAATCCATAAAGGAGGCCAACACAGTTCTTTGGGCGGCAGTTGGTGTCGTTTTAGTCATAACTGTATCATTTGCTGTCATTCTCTTTGGAGTTCGTTTTTGCAAAAAAAATAACAAGATTGAAAACCAGCCGTGCAGTCCGATTAACGGAGATGATACACGTGAAATAGTTGATGAACACTGTGTTTAAGTATATACTGTTGCAGTAGCCGTCTTCATCAGAGGACACGGAACCGTTGGCTAAATCAATGCTAGTGTTTACTATTAGAGCCAAGATTTACCATTAATCTACACAAATTATGTATAAAAAAAAATTGTTTTTGATTTTAGAGACTAACTTCCCGTATGCCAGGGTGTGACCATGACAGGTTCACTTAACTCATCATCATAGGGAAGGGCGCTCTTATTCATGAATAGGCCATCCACAGCCCAATGCTTAGGATTCCTAACAATTGCCTATCTATAAATGTTAATGTACTTGTAATGTAAATAAAATTTATTTTAATGTTTTTGTCTTTAGTAAGATAGTCATAGGCCTACCTCACACAATTAATATTATGTGGTTCTATGTTTCACTTTTATATCTTTGATATTAAGCTAATAATTTTTCCGTTTCTTAACGTATCAAATGTATGTTAATGCCTAATCGGTTTTAATATCGATTTTGCTTATTTAGTGTGCAACAATTTTGTGGTATCGAAAACTAAATTATTACTTGACTTTGAACTTTTCACTAACATTTTTAAACTTTGATAAAACGTCATTAATCGGAAATTGTTTTTTTTTAATCCCGTCATTTATGTATCAAGAAACCATCAGTTCAGCAAATTAATTATTTTACTTCTGTATTTTTCTTTACTCACTATCAATTTAATTTAAATATCTGTTAAATTTCTATGCTTTGTTGAATTGAAGTGAATATAAGTATAATGCGTTGCGTTTAAATGCGATGAGGAAATTTAAAAAATTACATTTTATTGATTTTTTTTATGTACTCTTTGTTTTGAAGTTCTTTCAAATTCAAGTACAAGTACACACGCTATATACAGGATGAAACGATACTTTATAAACCAAGTCTCTTATTAACTTATAGAAAGTAGTTTCTTTCCTTAGTAGTGTGAAAAATTCCAGCTGTGACAGGAATTCAACCCAGGTTGAACTCCGGTAGTGGAACTTTAATGTCATTCGACACTATTTCTACCCCTCCTGTTTTACTCCTACACTTTTGGAGTCCTTTGAATGTCGATCTTCACATACCAGAACCAGGACCCTGTGGAAGGAAGGCAAGGATCTTAACCACTAAGCCATTTAACTCAACTTAATGTATCATCACTTTGTCCGGGTGTTGAGGATACGAAAGAAATTACACCGTTGATCTTTATTTAGTTAAATTTGATTATGAATCGGTATATTACTCGGAATACTCAACTACAAATCACATCTGCATATTGTTCAATCAAACACACTCTTCAGTACAAACAAAAATCATAACTAGTAATTACACTGTGAAATAGGAATAGTTTCAAACTAAGAATTTAACAGCTTAAGCTACTGTGTTGTAGCAACATCAAATAAACATGTAAAGTTGTTATTTGCTTTGTGTTTGTGTGGAAAAGACCTGCCACAAATCGTAGCCGATTTTGCAACATTAGTGTAATCTCTGTTTACACGTGATAAAAACGACAGAAGGGCGCTGCGCGGCAAGATAAGAAGTTAGTAAATATTTACGAAATTCAGAATAAACATGCCACGGATCATAGGCCACAACAATCAAAGTATTATTTTTCTCAATTCGGATGGTTTAAGGAATAGTCCTGAACTTCATTTTTAGAGGCTCGATTTGGCATTCATTATACTGTAAGAAGACGCAATACAGTATAATTTAACAATCCTAAACAATCCTAAAACGGTTCGAAAGACCTCTTTTAGAGAACCTATTTTACTTCTGTTTCGAACCTTTAAATGTTCCTTATACAAGACAGCTTAAAAACCCCTAAATCACTGCTATTGTTTTGACTGCTTATCAGTATTAACCGCCCACATGCATTATTTTTAGTGTTTGTTACAGAGCCGCTCTTGTTAGTCAATTACACTTTCTAAAACCAATTTCGTGTCACAAGGTTGTACATTCATCATGAAAGGAATTATACATATTGTGGTTATTTTCTTGACACTTTTTTGTTTCGGATTATGTTCTTGGAGCCGTAACCAGATAACTTTGACGAATGGTAGATATAAAAACTTGCTTATTGCTATTAATAAAGACATACCTGAAAACCAGGAGCTTATTGATACTATCAAAGTAAGTAAGAATAACTTAGTATTACTTAGAATAGATTGAATAGACATGTTGAACTATAGCTTTCAGATATACTATGATAAACTGGTTTAGACTGGGTTAAATGGCCAAGTTACATATCTTCTATATTAATTATTATGTATTGTATTTCATCAATATTTCATCAATAAGAATAAGCTATAAAGAAAATTAGTTTTATTTAAATATACCTTATCATCAGTTCATAGTTTGTTGTTTTGCTGGTATCTGTTAAAAGTTGTGTTCTGTTCCCACCTCTTATGATTTGACTAAATTTTGAATTTGTCGATTTTTTTCTTGGTTTTATTTTAATTGCTCTGGTATATGTATGAATAAATTTTACGTTTTAATAATGTACTCTTGTTTGTTTTGTTTGTTTTTATCTGTAACTAATGAAAGAAATGAATTTTAAAAAAATACGTTTTAATGAAATTGTTATATTGTTTTAAAGTTATTCTTGGCCTAGTACTTTACTTCTCTGTTCCAGAGCGTTTTTGATTTTGAAAATGAAATTAATTGAAAATTGAATTTTAATATTTGAGCAATAAACCAGATTTTTCTCACCAAATCCTTAGCGTGAATATCGGTAAGGCCTACTGCATGTGTTACTTCGAATAAACCAATCCTGTCAATTTTGACCCTTAACCTTGGGGATTTCTTTTACTTCGGTTTTTCGTGCACTTTCATAAGATTGTAATTCATTCATTAACATTGTATCATGGAACAATATTGGGAACATATAAAACTATTGATTTTTTAATTACATTACTCCTGATATCATATAAATGAGACGTATGAGACGTTGATGGTGTTATAAATTCAAATACCTAATGTCCTTGTATTTGTATCGTGGGCCTTGAGTAAGATAGGACCTCAATGCAGTACGTATAGGCCTACCATCAGTAAGGAATGGATTTCTGTTGTATAAATTCATTATAAAATTAATCAGTTAGATTTGAATATTGGCGTATTGGCATTCATATTCTGAATTGATGCTATAAGGTAGGCCTATGCGTAGGTCACAAAGAATACTAGTTTAGGTTGGCCAGGACTTGGGAGGTGTGGCGCAGTTGGACTATTTTAAACACAGAATGGTTTCTATTGTTTTTTTCGACTTTCTTTATTAAATAAATACGGTAAGCTCTACAGTGGCGGATCCTGTTTGCTAGAGGGAAAACGGTGGGGTGGGGTGTGGAAAGACTATGTAGCAGTCAAAATAATCAGTACCCATGAGTGTGCCATGAATCATTAATTAGCTAAGAGATATAAATCGGGTGAACTCTCCTTCACGTTAGCCTGAAAACACAATGTATCTGCCCCTGTTCTGTAGTTCGGGGACGCTACTACTAGTAATGATAATACATATAAATCTTCTAACCATTCAAACGCCTACTATATACATTTTGATAATCGATTATAATAAGAGATTAAAAATGTATTGTATGATTTCAACATTATAGTATAGAATTGAATAAGATATTTTAAAAACGAATTGTTTTAACATTATTAGCAAGATTTCGAAACCAAGAGGACAATTTTCTAAAATACTCAAGTAAAATCTAAAAATTGGTAATATTCCATATTTTTGTATTGGAACTAAATAATAGCTATATTTTCTTAAGCATATCAACAACGTTAAGGTTCTTAGTAATGTTAAAAGTGGGAATGAAGGCAACATTTTAAGTAATTCTAATAATTGATCTCAAGGCTCAAGGCTTGTTTTTTCAAAAAGAATATATGATTTAGGTTTGAAGTGTGTGTGTTGCGTGTGAACCTTATGTTTGCGTAATCTAGATGTCAAATTATAGTAAATTACCTTAATCAATTGTTTAGTAAAAAATTAAAGCGACCAATAATGATTATGTCTGTCAATTTTTACAAGTGATAATTTGTTAAATTCTAACCAAACTAAACAAATACACAGTTTAGACAAAATTTGACCTTAAGTGGCATAGGCCTGCTAATACATTGTTTTATTTGTTATCAGGAAATATTTACTAGTGCTTCAGAGAAATTACTTAATGCAACAAATAAGCGAGTATATTGGGAGAGAATTACCATTCTGGTTCCAAAATCATGGAAACATAAACCGGAATACGAAGCCGTCACTTCAGAGAGTTTCGACAGGGCTAATGTTGCCATCGACTTCGAAAATCCTAGATGGGGAGACAACCCGTACACACAACAACTTGGAGGATGTGGGGAGCCGGGAGAATACATTCATTTGACACCAAATTACTTACTGGACAAATCAACGAGTGAATATATTTGGGGTCCAATGGGTAAGTCTTACAAACTTTCTGTTTCCTTTTTTTTTTTAAATAATCAAGGATCTTTATACTATATTATCATCACGAGCATGGATAAATCTTTGTAAAGTACAAGAAATTAAAGTCAACATCTTCTGGTCTTAATACACTACCTAACTTGATTGTACAGCTGCATTTAGGCCTAATGATGTAATCGTATATAATAATGCAGGAATGTGTTACAGTAAATTACTATTAATTACGTTTTGGTTATAAGTGAGGACAAAGTACAGTATTGTACATTAAATATTGATTATTAATTCTGATAAAATTGTGGATTTTATTTTTATTATATTCGACTTTCCACTAAATTCATATTGATACATATATATTGACACATAAACAAATTCCAGTACGAGAATGTGTCAATACGTGAAAGGATCTCAAAACCGAAACGTTCTCATAATGCACATGACCCAACAGCAAATAGATACATTTATCTTGTTACTGAATTGAAGTAAATGACCAACGGTACTGTTTTTTTTTTTAAGTAGGATATTCTTATTAATATTACGCAAAACTTAGTACTCGATATTTAGGAATTACTGGTCAGTCAAGTGACATTAATGAGAACACAACGTACGTATTTCTTTGATAATAAACTAAATAATCATGTTCTTTTTACTAAAGATAAACTTCTATTACATGAGTGGGGTCATCTCAGATGGGGTCTTTTTGACGAGTATACCACAGGTGATCCCGGATCAGCGCCCTTCTATGCTACTTCTGATCATATAGTGGAGGCAACACGATGTTCACTTGCTATCACAGGTCAATACGTTAATATATTCACACTAAAGGAATGTTACCTTGACCCAGATACCGGTATCTACCAACCAGAATGCGTCTTTTTCCCAGACTTAAATGGTCAGGCGGCCACGGCATCTATTATGTATGGGCAATTTATAGATTCGGTTAGTAGAATCATTATTATCTAATTTAACTGTATTTTTTTTACACTATAATTATAAATTAAAAAATTCCATAATTAATGTAATAAAAAAATTAATTTAAAAAATATAATAATAAATTCACTATGATGCGCACACAGGGTATATTGCTATCTAAAAAAATACTTTGAAAAATATAGAGTTACCAATTTACACACTGGGTATATTGCTATCTAAAAAAAATACGTTGAAAAATATATAGAGTTACCAATTTACAATAGTTACAAATACACATAAGGAATTTTTTTAAGGCAAGTACTTATAGTTGCAGCAGTTTTTCTATTCTTATTGGATAGTATTTTTTTATCCAGTCTATGCATTAAATAGCATTCAATCAGAACTACGAAAAAGTAATATACCTATCAAAGATGTTGTAACCATGGCTAAAAACTAGCTAAAAGCACAATGTATGGTAAGAAAACATTATCATTTCGAGAATTGTTTACAGAATCGTAAATCAAGCAGTCACTCAGTTGTATTTAGTGTGCTTCGAATTAAAACTGTCCCTCGGTTCAATAGACCTTTCCGGAGTGTCAATCAAACTTAACAACTGACTAATCAGAACAGCGCTAGGAATACGCGCGCGTCCTACAAACACACGTGTTGTCCCACAAACGCACGTGTTCGCGTATGTTTTAACACTGCCGTCTTGTGGGACCTTAGCAACAATATCCAAGGGGCGGAGCTTAGCGGAAAGGTCCATTCCCATTTAAAAAGTCCGTATTTCATATTTATTTTAATTGAATGAGGGTTTTTTGTGCTAATAATAAAATACGTATGGCTTTCTTAATTACATGCATTACATGCGTAATGCAGAAAATTAATATAGAATGTAGCATCCTACAATTGTATGAATGTGATAAAAAAAATAAATGGAAATACAACGCATTTCCTCTCATTATTTTATTCACATTTTATATTCACCAGATATGTATTATTAACATTTGTATTTCTTATTGCACGCTTTGTTCTGATTATATTTTCAGGTGTATACGTACTGTCACAGTGATTCTAGTGATCCATTGGGTTATCACAACGTCGAAGCGCCACATAAACACAACATAATGTGTAGTAGCAAAAGTTCATGGGATGTGATGTTAGAATCAGACGATTTTAAAAATAATAACAATCCACCCATAGAAGGAGAAGTGGATACTAAGCCAATTTTTCGCATCATTCAAGCAAGAGAAAGGAGGGTTGTTTTGGTGCTAGATTCCTCTAACAGTATGGGGGTATGTTTAACGTACAATCCTTAACATATAAATTATATAGTGCATATAATTAGTGCAGGTATTGGCGTTCTTCTTGAATAAATGAATTGATGTGATGCTCTGCTCTTTCTCTTAAAGAAGTGGCGTTAATGTTAGTCGTAAGAATTAAAACAAGTGCCGATTAAATTATTCAATAATGGCTTATAACATAAAATAAATCAATAAAAATTATATCATTAGGAACATGACTAGAAGTAAACTTAGGACCCAATCACAATTTCCTACCCACGTTTTGTTTCTCATTTAGGCCTACACATAACATACAAACACATTACATATTTTCTTATGAATTTTACAAGATTTTTTGTTGTATTTTTGTCATAGCTTTACTGTTTAATAATACTATTTTACACTAATACACTTATGTAGGGAGTAAAATTAGAGAAGCTACTTCAAGCAGCTACACATTACATACGTTATACCATTGACGAGGGTAGCTATGTTGGTATTGTGGATTTCTACAGAGATGCCCACGTATTGTCCGAATTGGTCTACATTGCTGATAATGACACATCACGTGAGACGCTGGTGGCAGCATTGCCTAGAGTTACTGATGGGGGAACAAGTATCGGGTCAGGAGTTTTGAAAGGAATTGAAGTAAGCATAACATGTTTTATCAGAAAAGACCGACATTATTGTTACTGTTCCCCTGGTTTAATTTGCTATATGATTACATACTGATCCTTGTACTTGAATTTGTCATATATTCAGAAATTAAGAGGGTAGAGAATATCCACAAAATATTTTATGTGCCTTTCACAATCTCTGCTATTTATATTCAACTTTCACAAACGTTGTCTTGCTATTTCAATAGTTTATTTTCACACTCGCCTCTCTGAATGACAGGTTAAGGGTATTGCAATATTGCGCGTGTGTGCTCGTGTGTACGTGTGTGTCTGACTGTCTGTGTATGTATGGTGTGCGTGTGTGTGTGTGTGCTTTTACCTCCGGGCACATAACTTAACATCTGCTGGACCGATTTACTTTAGAGTTTTACATAATGACAAAGTTAATTGTAACTCGGTCCTCTTTAAATATGGTCCTGATCGGAAATAAGGTGAAGATTTTAGAATTTTATTTATATATTTTTTTGGGTGCAACAGCTGACAGAGCTAACTCGAGCGGATTTTTTAACTTGTTTGGCCAAGCCAAGTGGACTCGGGTTGATCGACAGCCGGTCATAGTTAAGTTGAGTCAAATTGCGGTCCAGTAGCATTGTTGTTATACCAAGCCTCGTCAAATGCTGTCGAATCAATAAAAATGGTTAACCCGGCCGGGTGCGATATCTGTGGTCAAATCCGTTTGTGTTTTTGTTTTATTTTAAACATGAGCATATGAAAAAAAAAATAGAATACAAAAATAACATATTGATTATCTTTGCGGAATAAGACGTTATTTTATTTATTGTTATCGTAAAACAGTATTCGAAAGAGCTTAAAGAATTTTTACAAACACTACAATTGTTGAGTATTTTTGTTTAACTTTTGACCTTCTGTGGTCTAGTGACTTTATTAATTGGTTAATAATTTTCTGTAAATTAATTATATTGATCAGTGTGTAATTACCTTTCTAATAACACCAAACACCGTGGTGTTATTAGATATTTGATTTTTTACGTCAGCCATAATAAATAGCACAATGGCGGCTGATGACCTAGTTAAAAAATGACAATTACCTTTTTTGAATTCAGCATACAATTATTATGATATCATAAGCCAATAATATCCATTTTGGCATAAAAATTCTAATGGAGTACATAGCAAACCACACTTATAGACAAATATAATACAATATTGGTGTTACTATACGTCTTGACAGGTTCTTTCTCGAAACGACGAAAGCCCGGCTGGGGGATATCTTTTGCTCATCAGCGATGGAAAAAATACAAAATATCCCGAAATCAGTGATGTCATAGATGATGTTACAAAAGCCGGAGTCATCGTGGACACTATTGCTTTCACTAACAAAGCTGACACTGAATTAACCACATTAAGCGAAATCTCAGGTGGAATCGCTTTCTTTTACCGTGGAGATGATGATATTTCTGTTCTTAATAATGCATTTACCGCTACCGTCACCACAAGGCCAGATGTTAGTACACAATCACTTCCAATAACGGTAAGTAATTCTGAAATATTCAGCATTTCCAATTTAGTTCACTCTATAAATGCAAAGGAATAATAGAAGCTGGTCATAGTTATGTTAGAAAAGACTAAAACATGCCATTTGTGTGCTGAAAATGGACAGTTTACTATTAATAACCCGTGACAGATCTTAGGCAACAATGATATAAGGAAATAATTAATGATCTATTTGACTAATGACTATGATTAAACGATGATAAATCTATGACTTGACTATGACAATAACTATAGCAATGTCTATGAATATGTCTAAACAATGACATGACTATGTCTAAACAATGACATGACTATGTCTAAACAATGACATGACTAGGACTAGACTATTGCCATAATATGACCATGACTAGACTATGACAAGAATATGACTGACTAATTTGACTAACGTGTCAGTTTCTAACACTTCTTTGTAATTACTGTCAATGTGACATATGACTGTAAGTATTGCTATCAATATTATTATGACCGTGACTGAGACTAACCCTGGTATTCTTAAAACGAAATTTAGTCGTAGTTCGAGCAAAAACTTCAAAATTACGTCATTTTGTATTCTTAAAACGAACTTCCATTAGCACTACGACTAAACAACGCGAACCTGGACTAGAATTATACCTCCACAGGCCGATTTTTTTTTAGTCTGCCTAGGGTCAGGCTTAATCGCCGACTGGAAATATTCACCCCACTAAAAACGTGCTTTTTTGTAACTTAGGATAAAGTGAAACAAATAAAAACGACTGCATACGTAGGTCTGATATATCTTCGGTAAACAAAGAGACATCAAGTTTAGCTTCCAAAGGCGAAATTAACATGTTTTGCTAGCCACATGCGATAGTTCCTGATTTGCTTGGAATCTCCTCGCGTTGCGGTCACGTAGCTTCCCCATAACAACAACAAAAATTGCGCCGCCCTCCCTCGGGCTGAACTATAATAGTTCTCCAAATAAAGCAAATTTCCAGTGAATGCTCAATTTTCCTATCATTATATATTAACGACTAATATAGTTATTATTATGGAAAATTAATTAAGCGAATGATTATCTATTAGGAATTATGAGGAAATATGTTTTTGAAAGACAGACGGCAGTTAAATTCATTCGCGTTACCGGATTTCGTCTGCTTTTAAAATTAGTTCTTTTCATTGGTTAGTTGCTTGCTAGCCGTCTTCAGCTGAACTACAACTAGGACTTGATTTAGTCTTAGTTAGAACTTCGACTACGTTGTTTGTGAATACAATTTGAAGTTGAAGTTGCAACTAAATTAAGTTCTAGCTCAAAGTTCGACTAAAGTTCGTTTTAAGAATATACGGGCGTTAAACTGTATTTTGTGACCTGCGACCTGTGCCAGACTAATGCGACGGCGACTAGATATAAAGAAAAAAACTGTAATACCACTAATAATCAAAATAATAATAACAATGATAATAATAATAATAATAATAATAATAACAAGTTTAATTAAAAACTACACTTTTGCATTAATTGCATACGTTATGCAGTGCCTTCAAAATATCACAATATAATCCACAGAATTAAACAACTGTTCAAAGAATTCACAAGAAAATAAAATAAAAATATGAAAAATATAAATAATGATGATACTTATATAATAAAATTGGGTTTTTTTAAAGTTTTTGCTGCGAAGCAGCCAATTCATATTCTTGACAGCAATTTGACCTCTGAAAGGTCATTGTTTGTCAAAAAACCTGCGCCTAAGACAACTGAAAAGCGGAGTTTCCTTCTTTCGTTCTGCTTGGTAAAATCAATCTTTCGTTCTGCCGGGTAAAATCAATTACTTTAGGCGACGTTTGTAGACTAACCTACTCGTACCAACGTCCGCATGTCGCGACGCTGGAGTAATATTCAGCGTTTTTATTATATTTCCAGGTTTCCTATTTCTACGTTTAATCGGCTCATGTCTCAGCCACAATATTTTGAGGCCAATATTATTTACGAACCCAGTTAAAATTATTTACTAGCCTATTTCAACGTGCTAATTACTACATTTAGGCGACGCTTGTTGTAGACTGGCATAGTGTTTTATGAAATAAATACCATTTTATACACATGCGCAGATCGATTCGCCAGCAGCGAGTCATCGGCCAGCAGCAGCTAGTCGCCAGCAGCGAGATGTCACTGCAGCAAAACACTATTGTACACGGTACC